TTTTAGGGTATGACAATTATAAACATGTCTCCGTAGTAATGAAAAGTGTGAGTTCCCTTTCATTTTTTGTCAATCTTCTTCTTCTTTCATACGCATATACCGAAACTTTCTACATCCGGTATCGAGCTACAATTGATCTTTGTGGGATTTTGTGTGAGAGAAAACAAATAAGAAAACCTCACTTAAAAAACCATAAATACTTGATAGATTTGAGTGATTTTTATGATGGCTACAAGCGATAGTATTTCGCTCTTTCTCCCCCAATCTTCATTGGAAAAAATTATCATGTGTGGTCTATGAAGATGGAAGCATATCTCGTGGGTCTCGCTATCGTGGGAAGTCTGTTGAATCGGACTTTGAAACCGAATTGCTAGACAATCCAACTTTGAATCAGCTTAGAATGTATGAAGAAAAGGTCTCTAGAAAATTTAGAGCCTTGAGTAGTCTTCATTCAGCGAGTAAATGAGACTATTTTCACAGGGATTATGGCATGCAAGACAAGAAAAGAAGTCCGGGACAAGCTAAAGTCGAATTTCAAGGAAGTGAAAAGACAAAACAGATGCGGATCTTTAATTTAAGAAAGGAATTTGAATTTCTCGGGATGAAAGAGATTGAGAATGTGAAGGAGTACATTGATAGAGTTATGAAAATTGTTAATCAAGTAAGGTTGTTAGGTAAGGACTTACCGAAAGAAGAGTTATAGAGAAGGTAATGGTAACTCTTCCGAACGATTTGAGGCAAAAATCTCTTCACTTGAAGATGCTCGGGATTTATCTCGGCTTTCTCTCGTAGAGCTTGTAAGTGCTCTACAAGGTGTTGAACAAAGAAAAGCATTTAGAGAAGAAGAAGGCTCAATCGAAAATGCACTTTTTGTATCCCACAGAGCAAAAATGCGGACTAATGATACAAAGAGAGGCCCTCATTCAAAGAGAGGTAAAGACAAAAAATTTAATCAAAGCAACATGAGAAGGAATAAGAGAGGCAAGTATCCACCTTGTCTTCATTGCAAGAAGACAAACCACACTCGAAAATTATCGTCGGTACGGACACTGGGTTCAATGCAAAGCATGTAAGTCGTTTGGACATGTTGATAGAGTTTGTCCGAGAAATGGTGGTCAACAAAATCAAGCTCGACTCGCACAAGTCATCGAAGGACCTAAAGGTTAGGAGGAGAAACTTTTTGTTGCTCGTTGCTGAATGTTTAGTCGTAACTCAAAACACTAATGCTTGGATGATCAACGATGGTCGTACTCATCATATGTCAGCAAATTTGAAAATTTTTAAAACTTTGGACGAGCATATTCTTCCAAAGTAAGGCTTGGTGATGGGAGACTAGTGGATGTCAAAGGCAAAGGTGTTGTGTACGTGCAAACTTTATCGAGTACAAAGCTTATCTCCGATGTTCGTTTGTGCTCGATATTCAACACAATTTATCAAGTGTTGGTCGACTTCTAAATAAGAATTACTCGCTTAAATTCAAGAACAAATTATGTGAAATTATTGATCCTTTCGGTATAAAGCTTCTATCTATTAAAATGCACAACGAAGCTTTAATATTGAATGGAAACATGATGAAGTCGAAGCTTTTATCGGTATTGAATTTAACTCTTGTTTGTGGAACAAGAGGTTGGGTCACATAAATTATGATGCTCGAAGTTGCTTGAAAAGAGTAAAATGGTGGACGATTTACTCGTCGTGGATCGGGATTTCAAATGTATGTGGTACCTATCAACTTGGTAAGTTGAGCAAAACTCCATTTCCCGTAAACCAAGCTTGGAGAGCAACCGAAAAGCTCCAGTTGGTTCATACGGATGTATGTGGACCCACGAGCATATCTTCTTACAATGGCGAGCAAATATTTTCTTTTATTTATTGATGACTTTTCAAGATATTACCGAGTCTATTTTCTCAAAAACAAATGCGAAGTGTTTCCTATGTTTTAAAGATTCAAGGTCGCTCGTAGAAAAACAAAGTGCTCATGTCATCAAAACCTTGAGGTCCGACAATGGCATTGAATATGTCTCTTCTTAATTTCAATCATTTCTTCAAAAGGCGGTATTCATCATCAACTCACGATCACTTATACACCTCAGCAAAATGGTGTAAGTGAAAGGAAGAACAGATCAATCATGAACATGGCAAGGTGCTTGTTGTTTGAAAAAGGTTTACCAAAGAAGTTGTGGGCAGAGGCTATAAACACTGCTCGTCTATCTTTAAAATAGACTTCCAACTAAAGCTATTGATGGTAAAACACCTTATGAAGCTTGGATAGGTGTCAAACCATTAGTGGCTCATTTGAAGGTTTTTGGAAGCACTTGTTATGCTTATGTTCCCGATGCAAAGAGAGACAAGCTTGATCAAAGGGCTGAAGTTGGTGTCTTTGTTGGTTATAAGCATCGTTTCAAAAGGATATCGAATTTTAAATCCCATAACCGAGAAGGTTTATGTGAGCGGGAGTATAAAATTCGATGAAAATGATGTCCGGAATTGGGAGAAAATGATTGGAGAGTCCTCAAATCAAAGCATTAATGCCGAAAATGCACCCGACTTCATAATGAGACTTCGAGGAGGAGGATTCGATGATGAGCATCATACGGTGAGAGGCATCGAACTCGTAAGATATCTATAACGGATGCAATGTAGCTATATTTGAACTCGCATCGAGTTGATCAAGCTTTGCAATCTCCAAAATGGAAAACGACCATGGAGGAAGAATTCAATATGATTGTTAAAAATGACACCTGGTTACTTGTTGACGGACCAAAAAATCAACAAGTAATTGGTACAAAGTGGGTGTTCAAAGTGAAGGTGAATCTGGATGGCTCAATCAGCAAATACAAGGCTAGATTAGTTGTGAAAGGCTACTCTCAACAACGAAGGTATTGACTTCACCGAAACCTTTGCTCCTGTAGCTAGATTTAATACAATCGGATTATTGCTTGCCCTTGCTTGCTCATGAAGGTTGGAGAGTCTATCAACTTGATGTTAAATCAGCATTTCTCAATGGTGTTCTTGAGGAGAAAATTTACATTAAGCAACCCGAGGGTTTTGTTATTAAAAATGCTGCTGATAAAGTTTATTTGCTTGAAAAAGGCACTATATGGTTTAAAACAAGCCCCTAGAGCTTGGTATGCAAAGATTGATGGCTACTTGCTTGACTTGGGATTTGAAAGGAGCATCAATGAAGCTACACCGTATGTAAAACAAGTGTATTCTGAAATTCTAATTGTTTCAATTTATGTTGATGATATCCTTGTCTTTGGAAGCAATCCAAACTCCGTGAAAGAGTTTAGAAAGCAAATGGAGGGCATGTTTGAGATGAATGATTTGGGGCGGATGTGTTATTTTCTAGGAATGGAAGTGTCTCAAGTTTCAATAGGCACTTTTATTTCTCAAAGGAAATATGCCACAGAATTATTGAAGAAGTTTTCTCTAATTGGTTGTAAAGTCGTCAACACTCCAGCAGTTCAAGGATTGAAGTTACAAACAAATGATGGTTCGAGCATCCGTTGATCCTTCAATCTTCGGGAGTCTTGTTGGCTCATTGCTGTATTTATCAATCACAAGACCAGATATAATGTATGCAACTAGCATTCTATCAAGATATATGCACATGCCAACCGAAAATCATCTCAAAGCGACCAAAAGGGTCCCGAGGTATATTCGGGGTACAATTTCATATGGTGTGTTGTATAGGAGGAGTTCGGTCTTGAAATTACTTGGATTCACCGATAGTGATTGGCCCGGATAACTTGAAGATTCAAAAAGCACCTCGGGCTATTGTTTTACACTTGGATCGGGTGTTATATGTTGGAGTTCAAGGAAGCAAGGTTCCGTTGCTCGATCTATTGCCGAGGCGAGTATATGGCTGCATCTGCTGCTCGTTAATCAAGCATTATGGTTGAGAAAAATGATGAGTGATTTGAAGTTTAAGCAAGAAGCTACTATAATGATTTTGTATGATAATAAGTCTGCTGTTGCAATGGTTAAAAATCCCGTTTTTCATGGAAAAACTAAGCACATTAAAATCAAATATCATGCTATTAGAGAAGCGAGAGAAGGAAGGTGAAGTTGTCGTCGTTGCATTGTTTAGCAGAGGAACAAGTCGCTGATATTTTCACCAAGGGTCTACGGAAGAACAGATTTGAAGAACTTAGAGGCAAACTTGGTGTTATGCATAGCTCTTGCATCAAGGAGGAGTGATGAAGCTTGTAGTTCATGATCACGTACCGATACAAAGCCATGCACCGGATCTTGCACTAGATTTTGTTCCTTTTGTTTTTGAATATTTTGTAATACAATTAATGAATGTACTGAAGTTTGAATGACTTGTGGTGGAACTTAATTTCAGCTTTAGACAAGGGAACAAATTTCCTTAAATTATGAAAATTTGGTATTGACTTACTTTTTGTATCATTATAAACATGTCTCTGCAGTAATGAAAAGTGTGAGTTCCCTTTCATTTTTTGTCAATCTTCTTCTTCTTTCATACGCATATACCAGAAACTTCCTACATTCCTTCATATAATGAACTTAAAATTTTTGGCTGCTTATGCTACCAAGGGTTACGCCCATATAATAGTCATAAACTTGTTCCTCGCTCTTCGTCTTGTGTTTTCTTAGGATATAGTAAAGATTTTAAAGGTTACATATGTTACAATTTATCTACCAAAAAGATTCATATCTCATGCCATGTCTTATTTAATGAACATGGATTTCAGTTTGTAATGTCATTTAAGGACTCCCCGATACTCCACAATCCATCAAAAGTCACTCCTTTGCCATTGCCACTACTGAACTAAATACATTCTAGCCCATCTGATTTCCCGTCATCCACCATTCCTGATACACAAACTTTACCACCTAATCCTTCTTTCAAAGAGTTCGTTCCGATCCTATATTTTGTACAAAAATCACATGTGCCACCTCTATCTCTCATATCTCTTATTGTGGATCTCACACCATACCAACTCACTCCTCCAACTCCTTCACACTCCACTATGCCACCTCCTATAGTAGTACCTACTGCTATTGATCCCCAGCCTCTTGTCTCTGTTCCACCTACTAGAACTTCCTTTACTACCGTCAGCCCTCCAGTAAATACAACACCCTTTTATGGCATGGTGACCTACTCTAAAACTGGAAAGTTGAAGCCCTGTACCTTCCCTACCAAAGCTTGTACTTTACAACTGTCAATATTCGATCAAGCTCAAACTGATCCTAACTGGCCAGTAGCCATAGCTGTTGAATTTAGAGCACTCATTGACAATGGTACATAGGAGCTTGTCCTACCACATCCATCCTACAATGTTATTGGGAACAAATGGGTCTATAGGGTGAAGACCAATAGTGATGGAACCATTGATCGTTACAAAGCAAGGTTGATGGCCAAAGGATTCAACCAAAGACCCGATTTGGACTTCACGAATACATACAACCCTATTACCAAACCAGTGGCTCTTTGCTTGGTCCTTTCTATTGTAGTCTCTCATGGTTGGTATATTGATCAGCTAGATGTCTCCAACGTATTTCTCCATGACCTTTTAGAAGAAGTTGTCCACATGGCACAACCTCCTGGATTTGTTGATGAAGATCATCCCACTCATGTCTGCAGGTTGAATAAGTCTTTATATGGGCTAAAGCAGGCTCCACACCAGAGGTTTAAATGCCTCATAGACAAGCTCATTTCTTTAGGCTTTTAAGGGTCCCAAATGGATGTGTCTCTTTTCTTCAAACACACTGGTAATGATCTCACATTCTGCCTAATATTTGTTGATGACATGGTTGTAACGAGCAGTAGCACTGCACTCATAACATCCCTCATTACTGCACTTCAATCCAGCTTCCCAATGAAGCATATTGGTAGACTCAGTTATTTCTTAGGAGGGATAGAGACAACTTGGGACACTGATGGCTTACTTCTTCATAAACGTAAATATGCAAGTGACATTCTACGTAAAACATATATGCATGTAGCTAATGGAATCAATACTCCAGCTTGCCCAAGTACTTGGTTACGTGCTACAACAAGGGCAACATTTCATGATCCATCCCTTTATCACAGCTTGGTAGGTGGTCTCCTCTATCTTGGAATTACTCGACCAGATCTTGCCTTCTCAGTAAATAAAGTGGCTGAATATATGCATGCTCCAACTGAGGAACATTGGGTTACCTTAAAACAAATATTATGCTATCCTCAAACGACACTGACCATAGTATACACATTCAAAAATCTTATGATTTTTCCTTTAATGCTTATATTGATTCCGATTAGGGTGGTGATGTTGATGATCGAAAAGCACCTCAAGCTTTGTGATTTACTTAGGTAAGAACTTCTGATGCTTAACAGCACCATCTGCTGCTCCCACTTGAAATGTTTTCCCAATCAATGTCTAATAGAATTATTAACATTTCACTCCACAATCACACACGTTTTGCACTGTTCACATACACTCACTCACACGGTTCATTTTCATTGTTTGGCCAAACAATTTAATTTTGGCCCCTAATGTTTTTAAAAAAATCTTCTTCTTTTTTTCTTGTTGATTCTAGACGGGGGCCTGGTCCTCCTGGCCCACCTTTTTTTTTTTTTTTAATTGCATTGAATTTATTTATATTAAAGATTTTTTTTCAAAATTTTAAAAATATATGTTAAAATATTTATGTAACGTTATTTAATTTATTTTTAAATTTTACTTTTTTAAGAAAATAGTCTATTAATTTTCGTACTAGTTCGTATATTTTTAATGTATTTTCTTGAATTTTGAATTAAAATTTTAATTTAGATATTATAATTTTTATTTAAGAATTAATACATAAAGAAGAACAAATAAGTATATTTTTAAGTACAACATTTATATAAAAAATTAGAAAGAATTATTTAAATAAAAAATTTTGTTTAAAAAATTTTGTGTATGTGAGTGCTTTTTTTTTTTTTAGTTTTTGATTCAATATATTTTAATAGATCAATAACATATCATGAACTATCAAATTAGAATGATTTTATTCTATTCTATTTGTAACTTTTCATAAGTAACCTACTAGAAAACCAATATTTTTTTAATTATATTTTAGATGATATTACTTTTATTATTTAAAATTTATTTCTTTAGTTTATTATTTCTTATAGAGATTTTCATCTAATTAATTATAATTATAATTTTTTAAAATTTTAAATATTGACAAATATGATTTAGATTTCTCTACGAATGAACTTTTAAATAAAAATTTAGAATGTGATTACTTAAAAAAATTATATAATTTATATAATGAATTCTTAGAATTTTGAAATAATAGTAGCATGATTATATATATAAAAAACAATTAAAAATATTTTCCAAGAATTTCTATCAAATTCTTTTTTAAAAAATAATTTATAAAATAATTTTTTAGCTAAAAATCCATGAATTTTTAGATTTTTTTTTAGATTATTATAAATTTTTAGTTAAGAATCGAATAAATAAGAATAAATCGTGTTCTTTTTAGTATAAAATTTATGAAAAAAATAATGAATAATTAGTCAAATATAAAATTTTAATAAACAATGAGAAAACTGAATGAATTTTTTTAATCTTTAATTTAATATATTTTAACTGATTTACAATGTAATATAAATCTTTAAATTGAAATGATTTTTTATATTATAATCGATTTATAACATAAGACGTGTTAAAAACTAGTGGTATTAAAGGTCAAACGAAGTGTCAGCCTCAACAATTAGTTGAGGGAGCCCAAAAAGTTGTTGCGATGGAGGGTAAAAAAAAAGTCCAGATTGAGTCTAACAGAAAGAGTTGGGACCTTGCACCCAAAAAAAAGGCCTAAGATGAAATAAGTGCAAGTTGACTAGCCCACCAACAAAAAAAAAATAATTGCAAGATATCCAATTTGCCAATACAACTTTATAATTAAGGCAAGTGACCGCAGTCACCATTGCAATGATACATATAGTTCCATAACAGACTGCGGTTATTATCCACAAGGAGCCACGAAAAAGAAGAAGAAAATACAATTCTTGAAGCATGTGAAGGCATGATCAAGTTATTACTAAAATAAAAAAGAAGTCCAACAAGCATCCACCAATCCTGCAAATAAGCATAAGAAAGAAAAGTAATACCGAAGAAGAACATAAACAAAAATGCAGAAGAAAACCATGAAAAGCAATGACACTAAAAATACCTTATATAAGTAGGAACAAGATGGTTTTCCTGGGAATTCAGTTACCGCGTCTCCTCCATGTGCGTCGTTGCCTTCGTTGTTGCCTAATCCAAAAAGACTTCATGAACCAATCATGTTTTCTTTTGGTTACGATGTGTCCCATAACCACTCCAACGACAAATCCACTTCCATACCCAATCACAACAAATTTCCAGTCAAGTCTTAATGGTTCATGAGCTGGAGCCAGAGCCGGAGCAGTCAAGGCGTTGAGATTTCCACATTTCTTCGACAATGGCACCCCACAGAGTCCTGGATTTCCATCAAATGAATTGTTCTGAAATGTATTGAATTGGTTTCCTCCTGGTATTGGCCCTGCCAGATGGTTATGAGACACATTAAAGAACTCGAGGAAAGTGAGCTGCACAAGTTGTTGTGGGATCTTCCCAGAAAGCCTGTTTTGAGACAAGTCCAATGCTTCAAGCTTTGCTAGATTTCCAATGGATGGTGGGATGAAACCAGAGAGAATGTTGTCGGAAAGGTTGAGCAAACGAAGCCCCTTTAGATTCCCAATGAACTCTGGTATCTCTCCTTCGAATTTGTTGCATGATAGATCGATGAATATCAAAATCTCTAAGATCTTTTCATAATCCATCTCCAAACCTTTGTTTGTCAAAGTCATTGAATACGCAAAATAATGTGGCATCCATTGACCATTTATGCTGATACTTGTATCTGCCTGCATGTATATTAACTGGTCCTCACCATCAACCTGCATGGCAAACCAGCATCGGAAGTATTCCACTGGCAAATTACCAGTAAAATCATTGGAAGAAAGATCCAATTTTTGCAGTTTTGGGAATGACACACTTGATCCAGGAGTCCCTATTTTACCATGAAGTCTATTACGCCGTAAACTGAGAATCTTCAACTCTGGGAGAGTTCCCATCCAGGATGGAAAAGTATCAATGAGATGATTGTCACTGAGATCAAGAAACTCCAGCATTTTACAACTGGCTATTGATGTCGGTATCTGCCCCTGCAACTTGTTTTTCCCCAATCTAAGCATCCTTAGTCTGCTCCCATTTGCCCATGTTAGTGGAATGGTGCCACAAAGGTTGTTACTTTCTAAATTCAATACAGAGAGAGTGCTACTAAAGTTGCCCAAACATTGAGGAAGCAAACCATTCAAGTTGTTTTCTGACAAATCAAGTACTTCAAGAGAGCTGACTTTGCAAATTGATGGTGGGATATTCCCAGCCAATGAATTGTTTGAGACTGAATAATGAATGGTAGAGAATGGAGGAACTAGAAGTGAGCCTTGGAGCATGTTTGAACTGAGGTCTAAAACACGCAAATGAGACCATGGAAGAACAGCTGGTGGTTGATCAAGGCCTGTTAGAAAATTGTGAGAGAGGTCCAACAGTTCTAGTGTTTCTTTACTCATTGTCCACATCCAACTGGGAACTTTGCCGTGCAGATTGTTAGAGGATAAATCTAACCATATCAATTTGTTTTGTTTCTGCAAGAAGCGAGGGAAGTAATTTAGGCTGCATGATGCTAGTGATAAAGCTTCAAGATTTGGAAGTGTTCCATTGGTGCTAGTTTTGCTGTGAAAAACTAAGTGGTTAAAGGATAAGTAAAGTATTCTTAACCTTTTCAGAGGAAGAAATGTGTCTAGGTTAACTATGCCGGTCAAGTTGTTCTGTGCAAAGTTGAGATAATCAAGTTGTGTTAAGTTGGTTAAAAAAGAGGGGATGTCACCAGTAAGAGAATTATTAGCCAAGCTTAGATAAAAAAGTTGAGTCAACTTGCCTAAAGAGGATGGGATGTCACCATGCAAATTGGTTTCTTCTAGACCTAAATATTGGAGTTTGGTTAGCCTATCAAGCCAAGACAAGGTTCCTACACTCAAATTGTTCGAGTCAAGTAACAATCGAGTCAACTGTGTGAGGTTTGCAAACGTAGAAGGTATTTGGCCTCTGAAAGAGTTATTTCGAAGGATCAACGTTCCAAGCCTGCTAAGATTGCCAACTGAAAATGGGATCAATCCTGAGAGGTTGCAAGAATCGATAGTCAAATCTTCCAAGGAATGGAGGTTTCCTATAGAGGCAGGTAAGTGATCGGTGAGATCTGGATTGTATGCCACCCGAAGAGACTGAAGGTTTGGAAGTTGAAAGATTGTCTCTGGAAATTGTCCACGCAGTCCACCATTAATGAGAGTGAGAACTTTCAATGAGGAGAAATTTGCAATTATATTAGGTATCGAGAATGGCATATCTACAGAACCAAGCGAGAGATATTCTAGGTTGGTTAAGTTTTGCATTAGGCTTCTCAGGTCAGCCCTTTTAAGTTTCAAAAACCTTTCAGAAAATGGATTATAGTTGGAATACAGGGCAAAGTAAGTTAATCTGGACAACTTGAAAATTTCTGATGGAATATTGCCAAAAAATAAGGAGTTCGAGAGTTCGAGAGCTGTTAGCTCAGAAAGATTACCAAAGGCAGAAGGTATTTGAGAACCATTGAAGTCATTGTTGGCGAGGTTGAGCTTTTGAAGGTGTACTAGTTGGAAAAGACTACTGTTGGAGTCTATCGAACCGTAGAGACAACTAGCATTGAGGTTAAGGCCAATCACATGACCAGTATCCTCATCACACTTGACACCGTCCCATGAGCAGCAATCACTAACATTTCCTTCGAGCTTCCAAGACTCGACCTTGGGATTAGCAAAAGGGAATTTGGAAGCATATCCGCTAATAATAAAGCTTTCCTTGAATTGCAACAGTGCTGAGCGCTCTTTGCTGTGGCATTTGGGATACACTGATGGAAAGGCAAACATGAATGGAAAAAGAGAGAACATCAAAAGCAAGGATGATATTGTGAGCCTCATTATTATTCAATGAACTGATATTTAAGTCAGAAAAGATGATTGTTGGTAAGGAACTCGGCCATTTCAATCTCATATTTATAGCACAACTTAGCGGTAGGAAAGCAACATGCACACTGGTCTTTAGAGCATATGCGGCTTCAATAATGCTTTGTCAATTCCTCTCAAAACAGCTATTGACTAAGGATTGCCAGTCTCGAAACCTCTACTTAATATTATCTTGTCTCTCGTTATCACTTTACCTTGAGAATTTGCTGCTCTGTGGTTGTAATTTCCACACCAAATATTGTTTGATCATAGATGGAAAGGGAAATTTGCCTACTGCCAAGAGTGTGAGAAAGGCAAGACTACAGTAAACAAGAAAATCCAAGTCGTTTTGTTGACAATTTTGTAAAAGAAAGAAATCAAGTGGAGTGCAATTTACGGATCAATCAAAGCCAAGTCCTTCTCTAATTAAAGAAAATCCAACCTGTTAACTGTAGAAAGAACAGAAGTTTCCAGCAGAAATGAGAAATCATTACATCCTGACAGCTGCTCCCACTTGAAGTGCCTTTTCATTTAGTTTGGTTTAAGTGTCATTCTTGTTATAGTTTCATTTCTGTTTAAGAGTCAAATAGTAACAACAAACAACTAAATAAAAATCAAGCATTTTTTTTCTGATTCAAACAAGTAAATGTTTTCAAAACCACTATGCAGATTTACCAATCACGAAGCTCCAAACTAAGAACTTTCCCGACTTCCATAGATATGCGATGAAAAATTAATTTTAAAGACCAAACAGTCAATTGTAAAAATCAGATAATTAAGTTCAAGCTCTCAAAAAGGCTTTAATTTTTAATTTTATAGAAGTTTTGTTGAGCTGTAGAGACTGATGTGGATGAAGACTTGCAGTATAAGATGATATAAAGATCCAGCATGATGGTCTCTCTTTGTTAGATTTCCAATGGATAATGGGATGAAACCAGAGAGAATGTTGTTGGAAAGGTTTGAGCAAACAAAGCCCCTTCAGATTCCCAATGAATTCTGGAATCTCTCATTCGAATTTGTTGCACGAGAGATCAAGGACTATGAAAATCTCTAAGATCTTTTCAAATTAGTTTTGGAATTTCTCCTGCCAATGAATTGTTTGAGACTGAATAGTAAATGGTGGAGAATGGTGGGATCAGAAGTGAGCCTTGGAGTATGTTAGAACCAATTTCTAAAACGCGCAAATGAGACCATGGAAGAACAGCTGGTGGTTGGTCAAGGCCTGTTAGATAGTTGTGAGAGAGGTCCAACAATTCCAGTGCTTCTGTGCTCATCTTCCAAATCCAACCAGGTATTTTTCCAGGAAGATTGCTGAGGAAGAGGTCTAGAAATCGTTGCACTTAGAAGGAAAAAAAAAATCCGAGCACATTTTGTGGACAGTTCGATTCCAATTAACTGGTCCAAAAGGGACCTTGCTTAGTCTGTTTCCGTTGAAAGATCAAGTCTACTGAAGAAAAATACAAAATTGAAACAAGAGAAAAGAACTCAAAGACAGTAGAGCAATCTACATATCAAGGCCTGTCAACAGCAGAAGAAGCAGAATTTCCAGCTGCAACGAGAAATCATTACATCCTGACAGATTAGGCTTCAATCCTATCAGCGAAGGCTATCACATCACTTGTTATTGCTATTTAATCCCGTCTATTATGGAATTTTACCTATGCCTTGCGGCATTTTCGGCGTATCCCACTTTAGTCTTCAGGTCAAGTCTCCTATGTAGAACTCTGTCAGTCACTATTATCACATTGTAAGCAATTTCTCTGTAATTTCAACCTTGATTCCTACCAAGTCATAAAGAAAAAGGAAAAGCAGCCCAACACCTCTAGTTCCCAGTGCGTACTTGATAATTTGGAAAAGCAGAATTTATTAGTAATAGGACAAACCACCAAACGGCTTAGCCATTTTGTGGATATTGTTTCTCCCATGGAATAAAAGCCCAAAGAAGCAGCCTAACACCTCTCAAAGCTTAGCGAAAGCCCAATAAAAATATAGGCCTGCCGAGAAGGAAAAAATTTCAACAACTTAGGACCTTTCCTTGCTTCCTTGCATGAAGACTTCAAGCTCAATTCTAGCCAGTCAAGGCTTTCCAGTTGGACATGTCCGTAGTTGAAAAACTTCAAGCTCAATTCTAGACAGTCAAGGATCCTGATTTGAAGAAGATTTTTTCCTTTCCTACCAATTTATTGTTTGATAATTTGTTACCAATATATTTGTCTAGTTCTCATTAATTCTAATGTTTGATTATTTGTATAATTTATTTACAAAACTTCAAGCTCAAACTACAAAGTTTGCAACAATTTCAAGTTTGATCATATTGTAACGTATAACAGAATGATATCTGGAGCTGTTCAAGAATGTCTTTACCTTTCTAAGGAAAGTCTTCAAAAATTTCTTCCAGCCATATACTAATCTTACCATAATACAAATGAAAAAACACTAGACCAATCAGTCTTATCTGATTGAAGACAACTTCATTCCTCAAGTTCCTGTTAAGTCCAACTGGTGACAATGATTTCATGCATTTGTTAAGATTTGGTTTTAATGAATCTCGGCAGGCTTAATAGTTAATATCCTTGTTTAACTCTACATCATTAACATGGTTATCTCTGTAAAGTTTGTGCTCTACTAGCTAACTGAATTTTGTATACATATATACAATTAGTGTAACACAATATAATACAAGAGGAGATCATTCAGTTCTACATGGTATCAGAGCCGATTTAGCTTAACAGCAAAAAATACCTCTCCTTCAACCCGCTACTAACATATACTACTATTGCAATCTTTTTTTCTTTTCCCTTACCAAATCACACCAATCACACTTTACTGCCCCCATTCCATTCATTCCACATTCCATTCAAATACTTTCATCCCAGCTCGCTACTGCCCAAATATACCTCTTTCACTGCTGCAAAATATACCAGCCTGCTACTGCCCAAATCACGTACAAATCACGCCCAAAGTACCTTGCCCTTTAAACCAACGCTACTGCCCCACATCCCTGACCTGGTACTTTAAGCCAACACCTACTGCCCTACTTCACCATGTCTACTACACAATCAGACACTGTCCTACTCCATCCGCTGCAGCCCTTGTTCTAACAGCCCTTCCATCAACACTGCCCCATTCATCCTTTCCAAGCTTTAACTCTCAAAACTTGATTAAGCTTAGTCCCACCATTTTTATCCTTTGGCAAACCCAATTCCAACCATTCTTATGTTGTCATAGTCTCCTTCATCATATTGATGGCACCCAATCTCCACCTACTGCCTATATCTCTATAACTGACCATAATCCAGCCTATACTGTCTGGGAACGCCATGATAAGTTGGTCTTTTCCTGGATTGTTGGGTCACTATCGGAGGTAGTCCTCCCTTTCGTGGTTGGTGGACACACAGTAAGGGCAGCTTAGCTCAAACTCACTACTTCATTTGGTTTTGGAACACAAAATCAAATCAATCATCTCAAAAGCAACTTATACCGTCTTGTCCAGCGACATTCTAAAACCATTCCTCCATACTTTTAGCGGGAACAGTCCATTTATGATCTTCTTCACTCGCTTGGATCACCAATACCTGAAGATGACTTAGTTCAGGCCTTATTACGAGGTTTCAGTACCTTCTATTAGCCTTTTGTTCACTCCATTGAATCTAGACATGAGGCTATTCTTTATGAGGCTTTGCATGGCCTAGCCTTAAGTGAAGAATTTCAGCTACAAGATGGCCTCCAATCTGCTGAAATTCTGATTTTTGCTTATTATGCCACTCAACATCCTACTTACCGTGACCATGGTCGTCGTGGTGGACGATCACCATCATTTAGTTCTCCCTAAGGGACTTTTGTTCTTGCTACAGTACAGGCTGCATCTAGTCCAGTTACCTGCTTCAGTTGTAATGGCACTGGTCACCTTGCCAACATCTACCCATCTCCAAAACCACTTTTATGCAACCGTTCGCATAAACCCTCACCTCATCTCACCTTCTCCAAATCCTCTCCTAATACCTCTCAATGGATTATGGATACTAGCACGACTCACCACATGACAGCATAACTGGAAAAATTGGCCATTCACAATGAGTATCATGGTCCTAAAGAAGTGCAACTAACTAATGGTAAACACGTTCCTATTTCTGATATTGGTTTTTCATCATTTAATCTTTCTCATTGTTCTTTCAGTCCCAACAACATTTTATATGTTCCTATAGTAGTCAAAATTTATTATCTATCAACACTTTCACACAAAATAATTCCTATTCACTTGAATTTTTCCCTAATAAATTTCTTGTTAAGGATTTGGCTACATAAGAAATTCTCGACGAAGTAACTCTTGACAACGGGCTCTACACCTTCTTCTTGTCCCAACCTTTGGGTTGTTCATGCTCTATTCAAGGTCACGAGTACTACTTTTGGGACTTCGCATGCTCTTTTTGGTCATCCCTCCTCCAAGACTCGTCCAATGTGCCTTGAAGGATGCTAATTTATCTTTTTCTAAACCAAATTCCTCATTATGCCATGCCTATTCCATTAGCAAAATACACAAATTACTATTTCATGAATCTAGTTATGAGGTTAAGGTCCCGTTAGAATTAATTTGTTCTAATGTCTAAGGACCTTCTCCTGTACCTTCAATTGATGGTTACTCGTATTATATCTTATTTTATGATCATTACAACAAATATTGCTGGATCTATTTTCTTTGTCACAAATCTAAAGTCTTTAGTTGTTTTATTAAATTCGGGCATGTTATGGAAAAGAAATTTGATAAAAACAATTAAATAATTTCGATCTAATTGGGGAGGAAAATACCAAGCCTTAACCAAATACCTAAAAAAAATGGTATTTCCCAAAGAAGTGCATGTCCCAAAACACCAAAATAAAACGAGTGTGTTGAGCGAAAACACCATCATATAATTGAAATTGGCTTAGCTCTACTTAATCATGCATCTATCCCATTAACATTCTAGGCCTATGTCTTTGATACTCGTCATTTATACCATTAACGGACTTCCCACACCCCTCATCCACAACAAGTCTCCTTATTTCACCTTTTTTGCCACGTTACCTTCATATAATGAACTTAAAATTTTTGGTCGCTTATGCTACCAATGGTTACGCCCATATACTAGTCATAAACTTGTTCCTCACTCTTCGTCTTGTGTTTTCTTAGGATATAGCAAAGATTTTAAAGGTTACATATGTTACAATTTATCTACAAAAAAGATTCATATCTCATGCCATGTCTTATTTAATGAACATGTATTTCGGTTTGTAATGAACATGTATTTCAGTTTGTAATGTCATTTAAGAACTCCTTGATACTCCACAATCCATGAAAAGTCACTCCTTTTCCATTGCCACTACTCGAACTAAATACACTCCACCACATCCGATTTCCCATCATCCACCATTCCCGATACACAAACTTTACCACCTAACCCTTCTTCCAAAGAGTTCGTTCCGATCCTACATTTTGTACAAAACTCACATGTGCCACCTCCATCTCTCATATCTCTTATTGTGGATCTCACACCATACCAACTCACTCCTTCACACTCCATTATGCCACCTCCTATAGTAGTACCTACTGCTATTGATTCCCAACCTCTTGTCTCTGTTCACCTACTAGAACTTCCTCCACTACCGTCGACTCTCTAGTAAATACAACTCCCTTTATGGCATGGTGACCTACTCCAAAACCGGAAAGTTGAAGCCTTGTACCTTTTCTACAAAAGCTTGTACTCTAGAACTCGTCAATATTAGGTCAAGCTCAAACCGATCCTAACCGGCCAGTAGCCATAGCTGCTGAATTTAGAGCACTCATTGACAATGGTACATGGGAGCTTGTCCTACCACATCCATCCTACAATGTTATTGGGAACAAATGGGTCTACAGGGTGAAGACCAATAGTGATGGAACCATTGATCGTTACGAAGCAAGGTTGGTGGCCAAAGGATTCAACCAAAGACCTAGTTTGGACTTCATGAATACATACAACCCTATTACCAAACCAAGTGGCTCTTTGCTTGGTACTTTCTATTGTAGTCTCTCATGGTTGGTAGATTGATCAACTAGATGTCTCCAACGTATTCCTCCATGACCCTTTAGAAGAAGTTATCCACATGACACAACCTCTTGGATTTGTTGATGAAAATCATCCCACTCATGTCCGCAAGTTGAGTAAGTCTTTATACTGGCTAAAGCAGCTCCACACCAAAGGTTTAAATGCCTCATTGACAAGCTCATTTCTTTAGGCTTTTAAGGGTCCCAAATGGACGTGTCTCTTTTCTTCAAACACACTAGTAATGATCTCACATTCTGCCTAATATTTGTTGATGACTTGGTTGTAACGAGCAATAGCACTGCACTCATAACATCCCTCATTACCGCACTTCAATCCAGCCTTCCTAATGAAGCATATTGGTAGACTTAGTTATTTCTTAGGGATAGAGGCAACTTGGGAGAGTGATGGCTTACTTCTTCATCTACGTAAATATGCAAGTGACATTCTACGTAAAGCATATATGCATGTAGCTAATGGAATCAATACTCCAGCTTGCCCAAGTACTTGGTTACGTGCTATAACAAGGGCAACATTTCATGATCCATCCCTTTATCATAGCTTGGTAGGTGGTCTCCTCTATCTTGGCATCACTCGACCGGATCTTGCCTTCTCGGTAAATAAGGTGGCTCAATATATGCATGCTCCAACTGAAATTGGGTTACCTTAAAACATATATTACGCTATCCTCGAACGACACCGACCATAGTATACACATTCAAAAATCTTATGATTTTTCCTTTAATGCTTATACTCGATTCCGATTAGGGTGGTGATGTTGATGATTGAAAAGCATTTCAAGCTTTGTGATTTACTTAGGTAAGAACTTGATATCTTGGCATTTGTGGAAATAATGTACGGTTGCTTGCTCATCTACCGAGGTCGAATATCGTGCCTTAGCAACTATAGCTACTAAAATTCAATGGATAGGGTCTCTCATAAAGCGGATTGCTAATCCCTTTACCATGCACCCAAAATTTGGTGTGACAACATCTCTACTACTTACCTCACCACCAATACACCAATTTTTCACTCTTGGTCTAAATATTTAGAAATCAACTTTCACTTTGTTAGGGATAAGGTCAGCAAGGGTATGTTACAAGTATGTTATTTGCCTTCCACCGATCAAATTGTTGATATCCTTACAAAATCGTTATCCGTAAATCAATTTCAACGGCTAAGAGAGAAGTTGCGCATTCTCTAGATTCCTGCTCAACTTGCGGGAGGGTGATAAGGATAAGACTTAATAGTTAATATCCTCGTTTAACTCTATGTCTTTAACATGACTATCTCTATACAATTATGTTCTACTAGCTAACTAACTTTTGTGTGTATGTGTGGGTGTATATATAATTACCGTAGCACAATATAATACAAGAGGAGATTATTCAGTTCTACAATTTCTTGAATGGAGCTGAGTCTAGTTTTCAATGGCGGGACAATAGGAAGCTTAGGTTGAATCTCCCTTGGACTAAAGAGGCTGCTGGCATATCTTCTTTCGCTTTTCTTTTTTGAATTTACTAGTGAGATTTTTATTTTTTATTTTTAAATCAATCTCACTAGTAATAGTTATTTCATGAATTTAACCCCTTTTTATTATTATTATTTTATAAATGTTATAGACTGGTTTATATTTTTTGTTATTTTCAGGATTTCATCTCATTATCTTTTAAGCTTTGAAATTTTTTTTTCTTTCTTCTAGTTATATATTTTAATTATCGTTTCTTTGATTGCTAGGGACTAGTAATAGGAATTTTTTTTTTTTTTTTTTTTTGAGAGGGAAAATGTTTTTTTGTTTAGTCCGAATTTTTTATTACCAAATAAAAATGATGCTTAATTTGTATAATATATACTTGGATCACCATGTATGGGAGCATACAATTAAGAGGATTCGTCGCTTTTAATTAGCTATCTAATTATTTAATTATACTTATGTAAAAATTAAGATACATGCATGTCTGTTCTATTAACCAATATCCAAATATATACACAAACAACGTTAACAAATTAATTAATTATCGAAACAAGAGACACTAATTAATTCTCTTTTCAACCAATATGACTAATTTATAATTTACTCTATAAAAATTTTCAACACCTATATATTGCTTGGCTTTTTCTGTTTAATTAATTATCAACTTTCTAAAGATTTCTCTTACACACTAAAACTACAGTTAGTGAACTTGGAGGGAAGTTACTAGGTTGGATTTTATGAAGAGACTTGTCCTTCAAACCATGTCCAGCTTTGAATTGATGTGTAAATTTTTCCTTCTATATATGAAGAGACATGTCTTTTCAAAACCATCATATTTGCAAAGGAAAATCTTTTGAGAAAAGATGCATAAATTAAAACTATGAAAAGTTACAATTCTTCATGGAAGAAGAAGGATACCGTGTCCCATGTAGATTCATGAATGAGCCATCTCCATTGGAAAGAAATTATTTTCCATTAATGGAAGTCTAAATTATTTTCCAATTAAACGCTACCTATTCTTTGCATGTTGGATATATTTATGAGATATCAAGAACCGTGTGAATGGTTTAATTTAATCACATACATAATCCCATTTTCATGTACTTCTTCTTCTTCACAAATTCACAAGAAAAGAAAAAGATTTTCAGAATTATAGATTTTGATCAATCATGGGTAGCATTGGTAGTTCTTCACCACCCCATGTAGTGATTTTTCCATACATGGCTCAAGGCCACACTATTCCATTGCTAGACTTGTCCAAGGCATTAGCCCAACGTAGCCTAAAAGTAACAATCATTACCACCCCAGCAAATGCTCCATTTATCCTTTCCAAAACCTCTATCCACCCAACAATCTCTTTGTCCATAATCCCTTTTCCAAAAGTTCAAGAATTGCCGGAAGGTTGTGAAAATGTTAACCATCTTCCTTCTACAGATCTCATTTAACCTTTTTTACACGCCATCAAACAACTCAAACAACCTTTTGAAGATGTCCTTAAAGAGATGTGTAATTCTGATAGGACTAATCCCATCTGTGTTATTTCGGACATGTTTCTACCTTGGACACTTGATTCATGTCGCAGGTTCGATATTCCTAGGATTGTTTGTAGTGGAATGGGTGTGTTACCTACAGTTCTTGTAAGAACTGTCTCATCCCATGTTCCATGTATGTCTAGTTTGTCCTGTTCTGAGCCCATAAATTTTCCATCAGTTCCATTTCCATTATACAAACTTGACTTCCCCGAGCTAGTTTGGCGTGGGAATGAGAAGGATCCAATGCTGCCAATTATTGCAGAGCTTGGACAGGCAGATTACGGTAGTTGGGGTCATATAGTTAACAGTTTTGAAGAGCTTGAAGGAGACCATGTTGCGGCCTTTGAATCTCTAAATCAAAAGGAGTCCAAAGCATGGCTTGTAGGCCCACTTCTACTTCATGATCGTAAGCCAGATTTGATGAGTTCAGGGTCCCAAAATGGTCAAAAGCAATACATCAAGTGGCTGGACCAGCAATTGGGGATGGGTTCAGGTAATGTGATCTATGTGGCATTTGGTTCACAATCACATATGACAGATATACAGGTGGAGGAGATTGCACTTGGATTGGAGAAGGCAGGACAACTGTTCATTTGGGTGGTCAGATCAAGAACGTGGATCCCACCAGTTGGGTGGGAGGAAAGGGTCAAGGATAGAGGGTTGGTCATACGTGATTGGGTAGACCAGAGGGGTATCCTAGCACACCCAGCAATTGGTGGGTTCTTGACGCATTGCGGTTGGAATTCGGTGCTGGAGGGCTTGTCCATGGGTGTGCCACTCTTGTGTTGGCCCATGCGAGCAGAGCAAGGATTGAACGCTAGGTACATGGCAATGGGGCTAAAAGCAGGGCTCATGGTCCCTCAACAACGTGATGTAAAAGATGACCCTATGACCGTTGAACATAATGTGACTTGTGATGTTGTGAAGGAGTTGATGCAAGGTGACCAAGGGAGGAAGGCCAGGGAAAGGGCACAAGAGTTTGGGAGAAAGGCAAGGCAAGCTGTGGAAAAAGGTGGATCATCTGATAAGAAATTGGATGAACTAATTGAATCCCTCACTCTTAAGACCAAACAATTCTAGGACTATATGAATTTACTGTATTGGTCCTCTTCAAGATTCAAGATAACATTGAATTCGATGTTGTACTAAAATTGAATTTATAAACCATATTAATATAATTCTTGGGGTTAAAATTAAATCTTAATCTATCTTTATATAAAAATAATAATATTTAATCTGTCCTTGTATCTTTTGTTGAATCAAATTTTATCTTTAAATATAAGTTAGGTTTTTAATATATTATTATTTTATCAAAATTTTTAGACCAAAACATCGAATTATTCACATGATATTCATAGATTAATTTTTATTCTTAAAATATTCTTACAAACTAGTTAAATACAAATCGTGTGATGATTTCAATAATTTAACTTAAAATTTTTGTTCGAATAATAATAGATAAGGATGGCAATTTAGCCCGTCGTGTTTGAGGAGGAGATGGTGCTCAAAATTTCTCGTCGAACAAGACACGGGGCGGGGATAGGGTAAAATTTTTTTAGAGCGGGGCGGGGACGGGAATGTCTATCCCCATCCCACCATTTTGCCTTTAAAAATGACAATTTGAGAGGGCCCCACCCCATACTGTTTGGGCCGGGGATGGTACTTCAAATTTTATCCCGAACGGGGGATGAGTATACCGCCACGCTCCATTGCCATCCTTAATAATAGATTAGGTACTTGATATATATATAAATATATTAATTCAATTATTGATATAAATACAAAATAAAAAATTATTCTACTATATAGAAAAATATTGAGCCGTTAAATTTAATTCTTGAACCAAAAACTTATAACCGCGCGCATGTTTTCATAATATATTGAACCATAGATTTAAAATATATATATATATATATATATATATATATATATATATATATATATATATATCATTCGGTTTTCTCTTCTTTTTTTTTATCAAAATGTTGTATTTAACTAATTGTTGATTAATTTTTTCATAAATTTTCTATTAAAAAAACATGATTTATTCTTATTTATTCGATTCTTAACTAAAATTTTGTAACAATCTAAAAATCCATGAATTTTTAACTAAAAAAATATTTTATAAATTATTTTTTATACAATCAGATATAAATTCTCTAGGGTATATATATATATATATATATATATATATATATATATATATATATATATATATATATATATATATGCTACTATTATTTCAAAATTCTAAGAATCCATTATATAAATTATACAAATTTTTTTAAATAATCATATTTTAAATTTTTATTTAAAAATTCATACATAGAGAACAATAAAATATATTTATTAATAATTAATTTTAAAAAAAATACTAAAATTAATTAGATGACAATATCCATAAGAAATGATAAATTAAAAAAATAAATTATAAATAATAAAAATAATATCATCTAAAATATAATTATAAAAAAGGTTGATTTTCAATATATATATCTATCATTACACTATCTTTCATTCAGCAAGCATTGCGGGTTTCATTCTTTGTAAAATAAAAAATGGTTGTGTTCCTGAATCCAAGTTAATAAAAATAAATAAATAATCATGTTAGTTGACTCAGCAACTGTCTGTGACAAATTCATGCAGCGACAACTTCAGAATCCTTACAATGATATGGCCAGTAAGAAATTCTTTAATGTTTTTTTTTTTTTTTTTTTTTTGAGATACCAAAAAAGAGGGGTTCATTTTCATTGTTTGGCCAGACAATTTCATTTTGGTCCCTAGTGTTTTTTTAAAAATCTTCTTCTTTTTTTCTTGTTGATTCTAGACGGGGGCCTAGTCCTCCTGTCCCACCCCTAATTTTTTTTTTAATTTCGTTGAATTTATTTATATTAAAGATTTTTTTTCAAAAATTTTAAAAATATATGTTAAAATATTTATGTAACGTTATTTAATTTATTTTTAAATTTTATTTAAAAAAATAGTCTATTAATTTTCGTACTATTTCATATATTTTTAATGTATTTTCTTGAATTTTGAATTAAAATTTTAATTTAGTTATTATAATTTTTATTTAAGAATTAATACATAAAGAAGAACAAATAAGTATATTTTTAGTATAACATTTATATAAAAAAAAATTAGAAAGAATTATTTAAATACAAAATTTTGTTTAAAAAATTTTGTGTGTGTGTTTTTTTTTTTTTTTTTTTTGGTTTTTGATTCAATATATTTTAATAGATCAATAACATATCATGAACTATCAAATTAGAATGATTTTATTCTATTCTATTTGTAACTTCGCATAAGTAACCTACTAGAAAACCAATATTTTTTTTAATTATATTTCAGATGATATTACTTTTATTATTTAAAATTTATTTCTTTAGTTTATTATTTCTTATAGAAATTTTCATCTAATTAATTATAATTATAATTTTTTTAAAACAAATTAATTATTGACAAATATGATTTAGAGTTCTCTATGTATGAACTTTTAAATAAAAATTTAGAATGTGATTATTTAAAAATATTATATAATTTATATAATGGATTCTTAGAATTTTGAAATAATAATAGCATGATTATATATAAAAAAAATTAAAAATATTTTCCAAGAATTTCTATCAAATTCTTTTTTAAAAAAATAATTTATAAAATAATTTTTTAGCTAACCATCCATGGATTTTTAGATTTTTTTTAGATTATTATAAATTTTTAGTTAAGAATCGAATAAATAAGAATAAATTGTGTTCTTTTTAGTAAAAAAATTATGAAAAAAAATAATGAATAATTAGTCAAATATAAAATTTTGATTAAAAAAATGAGAAAACTGAATGGATTTTTTTAATCTTTAATTTAATATATTTTAACTGATCTACAATGTAATATAAATCTTTAAATTGAAATGATTTTATATATTCTAATCGATTTATAAAATAAAACGTGTTAAAAACTAGTGGTATTAAAGCTCAAATGAAGTGTCAGCCTCAACAATTAGTTGAGGGAGCCCAAAAAGGTGTTGCGATGGAGGAATAAAAAAAAAAGTCCAGATTGAGTCTAACAGAAAGAGTTGGGACCTTGCACCCGAAAAAAAGGCCTAAGATGAAATAAGTGCAAGTTGACTAGCCCACCAACAAAAAAAAAAAAAAAAAAAAAAAAACAAATTGCAAGGTGAGTTAAACAAAAAGAGTTAGGACCTTGCACCAAAAGATTGGGGGGGGGGGGGTGGGGTGTGGTTGTCCAAAAAGGAGTTAAGTGAAAATGTGGTATAAAACGACCTCACATGAAAATAGAAGTGAGAGAGAGACAGAGAAACAAAGCCGGAGCCAACAAAAAGAACACAAGGATAGCTGTGTGGTAAAAAGGTGGAAGACACGTGATGTGGTATATGAATGAATAAGATGGAGAGAAACGGTGTTATGTGTCTCTATGCCAATCTTAGAAAAAGATGACGGTTGAAAGTGAGGAGTATTGAAGTGGAAAATGTTCTGCATAGAAAAGAAAATGATGAAAGGTTCCACATAGCAGAGTGCCAAAATACAAAGATGGTTAACCATTTGGTGTCGACTAGCTCAATATTAAGATGAGTAAGGTGCGATAGACTCTCAAGCATAGAGGACGACAATACCAACAAGGTCAATCATTTGAGTGTGGACAGATCTAACAACTAGTCATCATCACTTAAATCCAAAATTTGTTCTGAGTTTATTCTATGCATAGTTTTAAATAATTATCGTTACATTATATAATAGTTGTTATGTAACGATTTTTAAATATTTCATTATTGTTATTTTAATATTATAATAAGTCACGATCCGTAATAGTCACCACGACCATATAATGCCAAGTAAGCTTTGACATGTTAGCAATGAAGTTGCTGATCTTAAGGCTCAAACTGTTGAAAACTTGTTCTTCCACTAAAGACCTAGTTTCTAGGTTAGTGGTAGCTTGTTGCTGTATGCATTTTCCGTTCGGTTAGTGGTAGTTTTGTTTATGGACCATGATCATCATATTTTCAGGAATTTTGTTAAGTTTTTGCTTTATTTAAATCATTTTAATCAATGAAATATATGATAACTTTCTCTAAAAAGTCTACATTTGGTATCAAAACCCACTTCTTAAAGGGATATGTGTGCAATCTAAGAGTGTGTGTTTGAGTGCTTCAAAAACAAACACCTTTCCTTCCTAACTCTTAGTACATGTGCAAAATCGGATGGGTTCAAACAACTTTTTTCCGGTTCCATCTCCTATTTTCACTAGTGAAAACTACTAGTCATGGGCTATCAAAATGACAAGCATATTTGCGAGCATGGGATCTCCGGGAAGCAAGTGGAAGAAGAGCTAGTTGTTCCACCACCGGGTGATGATCCCATGGTACAAGAGATCAAGAATCAAAAGGAGAAATTATCCAAGCTTTTTAAAAGCCAAAACCTCGTATATATTTAGAACTATTTGAAACACTATTTACCGAATCATGAATTTGGAAACAACTTTCAAATCTAGCGAGTATCTCAAGAATGAATTATTTCAAGGCAATGTAAGAACAAGGAGCATGAAGGTCTTGAATATCAAAAGAGAATTTGAGCCGCAAAGGATGAAGGACTCCAAGACTACAAAAGAGTATGCAAATAGATTGCTAGAAATAGTCAATAAACTAAGGCTTATTGGTGAAGTGATGCCCGACACTAGGGTAGTGGAGAAGTCTGTTAGTGACATTACCCGAAAGATTTAAGGCTAAGAACTTTGCATTAAAGGAAATTAGAGGCCTCACAAAGATCACGAGTGGTCGAGCTTCAGCTTTTAAATGTAGTAGAAGCTCATGACAGAGAAAGCATATTAGAGAGGAAGTCATACTTGAAGGAACAATATAGGCCGAGATGCAAATTCAACAGAATCAAGATTTGGGCAAACACAAGAAGAAAAGATGGAAAAACAACAAGGGTAATCATGAAACAAATGGAATCCAAGGTGCAAGCAGTAGTGGTATTGGCATCGGTAAAAACTAGAGAGTCAATTATCCTCGAGCTTTGCTATTTTCTTAGGCAAGAACTTGATATCTTGGTGTTCTAAAAAATAAC